GTGCTATATGCACCCACCAAAATGAAATCAACTTATGTTTTGAAACTGTTTGACAAAGGCGGTAGAGTATTGTGGATATGGACATTTTTTAAATTTACTATCATAAAGTAAAACTGCTTAATTACTTAGGAATAAAAGTACATGTACGAGATGTGGAAATACATCAGAAGTACACAAAAGAGCTAGAATGCTTAGTGGAAGTGAAAATGGCAATCACTTTGACATTGCTGATGGAATGCATGAAATTTTGAACTACGGAGTGACAAGACGAAAACTGATGAGACATGTTTGCACCTGCGCTGAGCGAAGTCCTTTAGGTCCGTTTCTTAGGTAGTCGCCGAAAAACATGTAGCTCAGAAAGAAGCAAGCCTCTAAGGGGATGCTCGTCGAGCTATTATTAGCGGTTCATGCTTTTTTCTTACATCAACTTTGTTTCGAATTACGTAGACGCTTAGAATAGGGTGTCTTGATATGTCATATTGGCCAAAACACGTTTTCCATGCGATTTTGTTTGATCGCGCCAACATATGTGAAGGCAGACTACGGCGATAGATTTACGATCTATCGTTTTTGTTCCAATTAAGATACTTAGTACTAATTAAGCGAGGCTTTCTATGAAATCCCAAAGTAGTCGTGCTAAAGTGCTTTCATACCTTTCGTTTCGAGTGTTTTCCTATGTCCACGCTCAAATTTCGACATATGTCGTAATTATTATTCAAGCTAACATGTCATGTGGTCTGTTAATTGGGCTGACTTATAGAGCCTGATACACGTGTTTCGACCTTGCCGGTCTCATCAGTCGGGCGGTAATCTTCATCTTTAGTCAATCCTCTCGGGCGGCCAGTCCCCTATACAAAGAGTAGACGACTACGAGCATTTTACAGACCATATGACATGTTGGTTCAAATAATAAATACGAGATATGCTGAAATTTGAGCATGGTCTTGAGAAAACACTCAGAAAGAAACGTAAGATGTACTAATGATACCAGTCAAGAGCAATCGAGTGTAGAGCAGAGTCTGTTGGGTGATAATTTCACTTGACATACAGTGTAAAAGCTGGTTGTCACCTACTCTTATTATAGGAAACTGAGCGCCCCGAGAGGACCGGCTAAAGACAAAGGGTAGTGTCAGATTGATAACCGTCAAGGTCGAAACACGTGTATCGGGCTTTATAAGTCAGCCCATTTAACAGACCACATGACATGGCTCAAATAATAATTATTTTGTGTGTGTGCTTTCACTTTCTCGCCATAGGTAGCCGGTTATCGTCGCCTATCTGAGTGAAACTTGCTGTCTTACAATCACCGTTCATCCATAAACCTGTGATGGCTGCATGTTCATCTGTTATCGTAACTACCGAAGCAGGACAATCTAGAAAGCCCAAATCCAAACACTTCTTATTCATCCTCGGATGCAAAATGAACACTTTTTGACCAGGAAGTTAGTGGGAAGAAACATCACCTATACTAAATTTGAAATGAACTATGATGAGTCCTGAGCATGTCATTTTGATGTTGCTCGAAGTTTGCTACAAACCGATGGGGCTATAGTTAGGGCCGGTGCTTTTGTTTTGTGTTGTTGTTCACAATGATACATCAACATTTCCTTCCGAAATGTCATCCAGAAGTGATTGCACAGAAAATACTGTAATTTTATCAGCAACATAGTCACTGATAACAGATTGATCTAACCCGACTTTCAGGACACTAGAACGAGGTGTTATTTCTCAAAAAACAGTGTGGCATTCACAATACAGTTTTGTTAAAGACGACATCATCCATGAGAACAGGTCTAAGGGTTTGGATGCGAGTTTGATTTCAATCTTAGGGTTCGTTGTTCCATGATCTCACCGACGTGTTAGAGATAGTTTCACGGGTAGATCGAGATCGTCACGTGATCTCATGTGTCCACCATAGGGTGTAGTTGAAGGGAGCTTATTGCCTCATGGTAGGATTCTTCTCGAACGGAAGCGATTCTTCTAATTGAATGGCCGCACTCAAGTGATTGAACAGCGGGATTTCATCAAACCGAACACAATGTTGTTCCCAATCGAGTGTTGAAGTCTAGAGCTATCGCACATGCTTTATTTTTTGTCTCAATCTCAACTTTCAGAAAACTTAAGTTATGGAATAAATTCCAAGTCATACCAATATTCTATGGAAATCAGTTATCCCCTTTAGAGCAAGCTATTTTTTATAAGTCTATGTAATAGTAATTCCATTTCGCTTCTCCTCAACTATTCCACTGATCAAGAAAGATTCGCCAGTGGTTGAACAAGCAACATCATAGTGAGTAAGGGAAGAAAGGAAGATGGAAAGTAGTGGAAATCGATGTGACGTGAAAAAAAATAGTAGAGTTTGAAAGGTATCAAAGGTTTGATTGAACGAATGAGCCGATAATAAGTGTCATTAGGAAAGAGATGTGGTGATGAGTAGTTGATTATAGCTTTCTCCATTTCGTCTTATTAGAGAGGCGCAGGGGGATTGGTTTCACGCAGTACACTTAACGGACCATCTCAAAGGAACCTAGCTAGACGAAGCGCAATAGCTGACAAAGATTCTATTTCCTAATATTTATTACTACTATTGTGATTACATGACTCACCTTCACATCTGCTCTGAACTTCGTGTATTCGATTCGTTTCGCTTGCGTGTGACCGGTTGCTGCTTGGAAATGTTTTCGTCTTCCCCATGATTATCGTTGAAAGTTAATTCACTAGGTTTTCCTGGAACCCTGTGATAGCGGTAACAGCGTGGATAAAAGGGACTAGCTTTGTCTCATACAAGTTTGGCACCAATTTTTCCACCTCGAAGAAGTTAAAGGCTTGATAAACCAGAGGTGAGATCGGGCCAGCGCCTGGTTAGATTCCGTCATCCGTTTGATAAGCGAAACCACTTCCACTGAGCTATCTTCTCTCTTGTACACTTTGTATCAGTCATTATTAGCTATAACATGTCATTGTAATTAGTTCTTGCTTGATTTCATTCTGACCTTCTTGATCTGCTCCATGCAGCTTTAAGGCAATCTCGAAGTGTATCACCTTTCGTCACGACCAACTTCACGCAGAAGTTCAATTCTTCTACGCTTGCAAGCATGGAACTGTTGTTTAATTACATTGTTTCATCAGAAACACGACTCCTTCACTATCACCAAAACCAATATCGCATAAATCCAGTTAACTTCTGCTACTTCGGCTGTATACGAGCCGCTCGCGACTCTTTGTAATTTGTGATTGACAAGCTTCGCCCTACGACAACCACTCGAGGAGAGTGGCATAGTAATACACCACGGTGGTGATTGGACGATGACAAGATGCTCTCCGTCGGCGAATGACTGGTGATCAATCATTTACAATCATTTGCTGCTTAATCGGTTTTCTGCATCGCACACAAGACCGGAGGTTCGATCTCGCGCTCATGGTTAACCAAGCAATACTTTTCTCCGGGGTCGGTAAATTGATACGATAAGCAGCATGGACTCGATACAGCGGGGGGCACCGCGAGTCATTGTAAAGGGAAATATGCATTCAATCATCTCAAATGAAGTCAAAAATTGAAGACGAATGCATGGTGCATACCTCAGGGATTGATGGACCCCCAGAGCTCTAGCCTTAACTTTTAGAAAAATATATCAAAAATGAGCTAGAGCTTTTTTGAACGGTTTTGTTGGCAAGGTACGACGTGGAATAGAACCCCTCGAATGGCGAGATGCGAACAAAATCCAGATCCTGAATGGCTTTAAACCCACCCTTCCCGATGGCCCACGTGCTACGCACGTGCTCCGAGAGGCTAGTCGCGGGTTCGAACCTGCTTTTTGTTGCCAATTTAGCTCGAATCTCAGCGGGTGTTCTTCTCGCTGGAGATCGTTGACGACGACGACGACGACGACGACTCCCGTCCCGGACCGTCTCTTCCACGGTTGTGGCGGCAGCGGTGGCGCCCACCCGGTGAGCAGCAGGGCGGGTAGGCGCAGGTGGGTGACGGCGGCGCGCCCTTGCCTGCCTGCCCGCCCGCCCATACTCTACGTCTCTGGTCGCCGCCCACCCCCATGTTCTTTCTGAGTGCTGCCATCCTGACCTTGGCTGGCCATTTCGACCCTAATTGGGTGTTCCAGTGATATTCGTACTTAATCGCTGGTCAACTAGGGTTTTTTCCTCAGGGCGATATTTCTCTTATTTTTCATTTGTAACTATCAATCATCGTCGTCGATCGCTCTTAACTCCTATCGACGCATTCCCTAATGAAGTCGATGGTTTTGCCATTAATTGACGATAATTTCCCAAGTACTCGAGGATTTCAGGAGTTCGTGACACCATAGAATTGTAGAAGAGACTTCGATCCATCCGAAAATCTATATGTATAGGATTTTTACGCAATCGAAATCTTCTATTTTGTCAGAAATTCTAGTTTTTTATTTTGAAATTTCTTTTTTTGTTTTCAATGTTTCTTTTCGTTTTCCTCCCTTGTGATTCAAATACGCGTAGAAATTTAATTCTCAAGAATTGATGAATGGCGAAATTTCATTGAGTTTTTCAGCATTTCATTGTCGGGGCGAACTACCATTTTGTCTTGTTAAGCTGTATTTCGCTTGTTCTTTGGAATTTCCGCCAAAAATGTGAACGCATTAAAAAGCAGTGACGTGGAAAAAAACTGTCATTTTTGAAGAAAAAAAAAACATGAAAAAAACTTTTTGTTCTTCCAAGATTTCTGTTTCTACTGCTTTTCCCCAGTGTTATAATATTCCAAATGTTTCAAGGAAATTGAGCGCTAAGGAAAAATTCGACCTCAGCCCGGAGTTGAACCCGCGTTTCATCCATAGCGGGAGCGCGTGCTACTACTACACCACAGAGTCCACCGCTTATTCACCACTCATTCTTCAATAGATGTCAGCTTAATTGGCTTTATAAAGCGATATTGCTTACCCGACCAAACCTGTTAATGGTTGGTGGCTGATAGCTATGATAGAAAGATTTTGAAAAATAAGTGGGTAATAAGCGGTGCCCTTTGTGGTGTATTGGTAGCACGCGCTCCGGTATGGGTGAAACGCGGGTTCAACTCCCGCCTGAGGTAGTATTGTTTCTTGCCTCTCAATGCTCTTAGGGGAAAGTTCTTTTACAGTGGGAAAGCGATGCGATACAGAAAATCGGAATTTCATCGTGGTAAACCAAGGGATCCTATTCACTGTTTAGGCAAAGATCTAAGGACCCTAATAATTTCTGTTGATATACTGTTGGTAGGAAAACTATTAAAGTTAGTAAAATCGAGTGGATAAGTTTAGTGAAGTTCACTATGTGACATGATATGTTGATTAGAGTTGTTGGAATTGACCGCCTTTATTTTCGCACCGCATGGCTTCTATAGAGGTCACGCCGTCACGAATGCACTAAAGCGCAGTGTTTTGTTCAGTCAAGGCGGGAATTAGTAACTTTGCAAGTTCAGCGGATGGGAAATGTTTTTCATACCTGACTGACGACCAGTTGGCAGTAGTGATCGCGATCGTTCATTGTTTTGTGGAGAAGAAGATAGCGAAGAGTAGCAGCGTCCCATAAGGGCGAGGTTATGTTTACGACATAATTTGGAAGTGAACCTGACTAATCTCGTTTTAATAGATGGTAATCCAAATGCATCCAGTACAACAGACCAATATTGAAGTGATCTCACACCTCTACAGAAGAATCAGAATACCACGCTTCACAAAACCCTCGAGGGGGTGGCGCGGAGATTGATTCATTGAATCCAGGATTTTGGGTCTCTTAGCAGAACCAGGACCTCGATGTGCGGTTCTCCTGTGACTGTATTAGGGAGAGACGATGGATGCCTCCAGACGGCTCTTTCACTGATATTTACGTTCGTCGAGCAACTCGTGGAGATTCATGTCGTCGTGGATCGCATCGTTCTCGAGTTCCTCGTTTTTCAGTGTAGTTCACATTGGACATGCTATGGACACCTCCAGTGACAATCCCACCACCCTATCGGACGACTCCAAACGAGAATCACGTCATGTCGAGTCGACTAGCGGTATGCTTTATCTTCCCTTAGTCCTAATCGAATTTATATTCATCATCATATACATTATGGCACTAGTATGAATGGCGAAGGGAGCATGTTGCGCAGCGGTTAGAGGTACTATACGACGCATATGTGGTCGGTCAATGGTTCGATCTCGCGGTCAGAGCTCCAGTCCCTCCGTAGTTAGTGAAATGGTATCAGACTTGCAGGCAGTATAGCAGCAATGATTTGATACACCGGTAGGCCACCGCAAGTCATTGTAAAGATCGGATATGCATTCGATCACCTCGAAAGATTCTTGAGGAAGTCGAATATATGGCGCGTCCCCCCCATGGTTGACCAGCGCTAAGAGCTCTATCTTCGTTATGAATATGTATTGCCTATATATATATATATACATATATATGTGCATATATCACATATATATATAGATTATGTACAGACATTCTGTATGCACATATCAGCATAAACTCCATCCACTTAATAGAGCATTCGCTGTGAGCCGGTAGACTTCCGCGGACCCAAACTAGGCGTGTCTAGCTGGCAAGGGCTCCCACCCCCAGCGTGGGAATGGGTTCACCCCACCCTTCTCCCTTCTGCGGCTCTAACTGTCCCACTCCTCTCCGCCACCCGTCACCCGTCCATCGTAAAGAAGGTTACTGGATCGATCCCCTATCACGACACTTCACTGTGTTTTTTGGTGTTATGTTTTTGTTTCATTACAATATGCGCGAATCACTGACACACCAAATCGCACCTTATATAGTAGTACCGTAAAACAAACGATCAATCTACAAGATTTATTCATCACCATTTTTTTAAACTGAATAGATTGTTGTCATAAGTTGCAGATTACTGAATAAATGTTGATAAATAAATTATATACATTCATCGCTTGTGTTGCGGTGTTACTATATGAGATATAGTGTGATTGGATGTGCTATGATTCGAGCAAATTGTAATGAAAGCAAAGGAAAGTACAGTGAAATCTTGTGATAGGGGATCGAACCAGCAACCTTCATGCCTATGGGTGGGTGACGAGTGTCAAGGAGGAGTGCGACAGTTAGAGTCCCCGAAGGGGGGTGGAGCCGTTTCCATGAGAGGGTGAATGCTCTTAAGAGTCAGACAAACCCAGTTTGGGTCCATGGAAGTCAACCGATCGATAAATAGTTCGCGGTATGAAGCGTTTTGCTTGCATTCGACCCCAGCAAGCATCTTAGAGTTGACTGAATGCATATCCAACTTAAACAACTACTTGCGGGAATTAACGAGTCTATCAAGTCAGCTGTACTTTTTTTTCTGGAATAAGTTTATTACCAAGTTGTCGACTCCGGAGGGATGGGAGATTACTTAACTTTAGGCGTAGTAGCGTACCAAGGACCATATATGTATTACAGGCCACTACTTTTAACCACCCTGCCACACTCTTCTGTATAAACACATACCTATTGATTGTTTTCTCGACTTATTTCATTAATATCGAAAATTTTTCAGAGGTAGAACTGAATGAGAACACATCCTTATCGTCCGCAGCCAACGACGATGTTGTGGAAGATTTGCAGGACATACCGTTAAACGATACTCGGTGTGCTTTTTTAGAATTTCCTTCTATGTCATTTTCTTTTCCTATGAAAATTTGCCCTTTGTCTATACTCTGTTTGAGTCACTCTTTTTGCTTAGGAGTTACTTTTCTCTTATATATGCGGAATGTAAGAACTGAGTCACAGAGGGATGGACTTTCTGGTAACTTCGGCATCGATCAAAAAATTCATTAATTTCGTGATGAGCGCCGCTCACAAGATCGCTATTACAATATTGAGTCACAATATCCGACGTTTCAGAAGTCTCACGTACCTCTGATTTGACTCATGCAGGCTCTGAAGAAGGCGAAACTGTCGAAACGATAGGTATCGTAGATGGCGCTCGCCTTAATAACATCTCGTGCTTGCTCATCAAAAAATTGGTGAGCATGGCAAATTTTCCTAGCGCTTTGGGAATTGCAATCGACAAGCGATTGTCAAGCGTCGCGCGACTTCCGTTATTTGAATAGATATTTTTTCTCTGTTTTGAAATAAGTCGTGGGGTTTTTGTGTTATTTTGATCTCCAATGGTTTCTATACAATATCCCATTTTCTTCCCAATAATATGAAACTTGAATGTGAAATTTCGTCTTCCTTAAACTTTTACAGCGCTTTATGAGGATCTTCTCAAAGATCACACTCAGTTTCAATATTAACGATATCTAAGCTATCGACTGAGTGAGTATTAGGAGTCCAATAGAAGACCATGCACAGTCGAGAGCCGAGCATATAAAGCAAGGCAACGGTGAGAAATAATCGCCTTTTAGATTCACTAGCGAGCTAAGCAGGCTTATCCAAAAACTAACCACAGTATTGAAATCGCCGTTGTTCATGTTATCGAATGGCTACTGAATGCCTAACGAAAAAACTATGTTCGGCGAAAAAGCCCTTCAAATACGCATGCACAGTATCTATACTCGCCGTCTTCGAAAGATTGATAAAACTATATCTTATTGGTACTTTTCCGTTATGTGCACTCTGTTCCGACCTCTTGAATAAAACAAATTTTTTCCAATATTTTCAAAGTTTGAGCAGCATTCGATGGCTCCAATCAAAAGAGTTTCATTGGTCTATTTCATTGTCAGAATGACTTTATCACTGCGCTGTAACAGCAGAAGTAAAATAAGTTTCTCTTTCTAGCAATTCTTGCTGGACAGAGCTTCTTTAAACTTATAGTAATCATTCTATAGCTTAAATCTCGACCATTACAGTGATGTATTTGGTTTTTGAAAAAGATCTCTTAGTGCGCTGTAACAATCAAACGAAAATTCGGTTTTTCAGGTTTGGTGCCGGAAAAGCTCAGTAGCTTAGTGGCAATGTTGCGAGGTCCTATCCACATACCGGCAAAGCGCGGTGATTTGCTACCTGTATCGCGCTGTGCAAAACTTAAGCTTATTTCGGCTACTACCGCGCACTGGAAAGTTCTTTTCCAAAAACAATAGCTTAACTGGAATTGCCGAGATCAAAGTTATCGAATGGTTACTAAAAGTCCAAAGGAAAAGCTTTGTCTAACGAGAAATGTTCGAATGCGAAACATAATCTTGTTCTTGGTGTTACAGCGCAGTAATAAAGCTATTGTAAAAATAAAATACGTCATTCAAATTTCGTTGATTTGAACTATCAAATGACTAGTAACAGTTAAAAAAAACAAAAAATGCCTCTTTCTCGAAGGGTCGAAACAGGTTGCTGATAGCGGATATGGTCCTCGTATTCAGTGAAAGAATGGGCGAAATTTCTTGGCTGTTCAAGTATGCATTGAAGTGATTTTTCACTTTCTCATATTCCAAATCAATTATTGAGTTCATGTTTTTTTTTAGATGAAACTTCAATTCAAAACAATGCAAAGCGTCGGTTGATCGCTTTATCTGCTGGGTTTTATTATCTAGCTTTAAACATCTGGTGGTTACTGACAGACGAAGTTTATGAGATTCGACATTTGTAAAGTAGAAGCGGTAGCGAGGTTATTAACAATCAAAGCGATTCTTATTTACTTGATACATGGATACTTGAGCAGCTCGTCTTCACTGATAGTACGGGCCTTAGAACGGGGAAACTGTGCTGGTTTAGCTGCATTGTCCTCTGGAATCCCGAGGTAAGCCTGGCCAGAGTTTCCTCAGGTCGTCACCACATTAGAGCAGTCGCTGGCTTTTGTGGATCAGAGGGAGATTCTCACCTTACGACTAGCACTTGCCAAGACGGTGATCATTACTGGTATGGTTTGTTTTTAGCTGGACTTCCCAGACGGAAAAGTAAGACTCCTTCTCAGCTTGGGTGGGTCTGTCGGGGGGTTGAACTTCACGCTGCCCTCTGCAGTCCGACACCCAAGAACACCAAGCCACGATGAGGCAGTAAATCATCTGAAAGGAATACGATCTATGCAATTCGATATTAGTGGCTGACGTTTCGACTGTTTCGCCTTCTTCAGGGCCTGGAAAGATCAGGTTTTCTACAACCCTTCTAGCTAAACACCTCTATAAATGC